AACGATATTATCAAAATGCCAATAAACTTGAGAATTAACAGCAGATCAAGTGAACCTAGTTTTTTGTTCAAATAGAATTATCATTGCTTTATTCATTTGGTTAAAAAATTACTAATTTGTAAATCGTCATGATTTCTAGTAGATCAAGTGATTCACATTCATACTAATTAATTTGTAAATGAACAGATTGTCAAACCCAAAATTAGTTTTCATAAAATCTGCATGTTAAGTTTGTTAGTCTCTAAAACATTAAATATATAAAAATAAGCAAATGATTAATTTTAATACTTATCTGTCTATAATCCTTAATACCGTATACCAGCTCTTTTAATTATAAAAAAAATTACCTTTGAATATGGCTACTAATTCAACGCCTCAAAACATTTCATATCTTAAAAGCCTTGCTTTAAATATCCTTAAGAATGGCACCCCAGAGATCATTGCAAAAGGTATTGAAGTTCCAGAACTAGATTCATGCTCAAAGTATAATAAAGAACTTTTTTTGTATGAAATTAAAAAACCATTTACAATACTTACTTGCGCCCATATATTCTACCATAGTTGTCTTGAGAACTATGTGAAAGATTTTCCGCAATGCTCTAAGTGTGCAATAGAAGTTGAACCAATTGATTATTCTGAATTTAGCTCGCAAGAAAATCAAACACAAAGTACTCTAGTCCCAATGCAAATTTTGCCAGAAATGTCATCTAATCAGAGCCAAAATATAGTAACCTCAGATACAACACAGATTTCTAACCCTATCTCCTTATTTTATCTAGACAATATGAAACAGGGTCAAAAAAGACCTAGCAAAGATACTACTAAAAATAATTTATCCAGTAAAAAATCAAAACAGAATAAGGAAAAAGGCAACAAAAAAGATTCTAATACTATAAAAAATTTATTACAGAATTAAAATCTAACACCTCTGAACAAAATAAAATAACTTCTTACCAAGTAATAGTTACCAAAGATGACCTACAGCCTATCAATTTTTTTAAATTTATATACTAAAATTACCTCTGCTGAAAGTGAAAATCAAAAACAAAGTCAGAAAGTAATTTTTCAATACTATAACTTCGGGATGGCTATAGCGAAACACTTTAAGTTTCATTATGAAAAATCTTATAATATAAATGATGCTAATAGTGATGTAAACAAAGAAATTGAAAAACAACTTCCCGATAGTACTCCTGAAACTACTATTCGAAAAAGAAAAGAAAGAGCCCAAAAGATTTTTCACCTATTTAGTAAGGTAGAAACAGATAAGATAGGATGAGTAGAATCTTTTAGTGCATTAACAATTGTCAAATTAACCATTAATCAAATTAACTATGTAATATCTCAAATTTCTGATAAACCCCCAATAGAATCAATCGTATAAGTCACGTGGACATGACCTTCGAGGTCACACTCATGTGATTACTGCGCCATATATTATAATTTTTAGTTCATGTACTGTATGTAAAAAGTTTTTACGTTCTATATCTGATATGTTCTATATAAATGAAATAAATTAGTTACATAGTACAAAAAAAATGATTATATTGATATACAAAAAATTCTCTATAAATAATCCTGGCTTACCGGCTTGCATAATTTATTTGTGTATAAAAAAAATAACCACGTTATATTTTATCTGCTAATATATAACAATGAAAAAATATAGTATACAAAATTAAATCGAAAAGTAGCATATCTTTAAAAAGTGGAAGCACGGATGTAAGATTTGTGACAAATGCAATCACCATTCACACCTATATTGCAAAAAATGCAAAAAAGTAGCAAATAGAATATATAGGCGGTGTAAATGTGAAAATTAAATAATTTGTCATTAACGTGTTAGTGTTAAAATAGATTCTGCATATAAATTTATCTGTACTATGATACCTTACAAGGCTTATCATCATCATTATTATACATAACTTATCTGTTATGTAAAACAGGTAGAAAGTACAAAGTATCATTTTTAATATTAATGGAATTAGCAATCTTATGACACATACGTTATTTATGTAACCAAATCTTTATATGATTTTATTTATAAACATTCATAGAAAAAATAATATCTAAGCTTTAGATCTACTCCAAAGCCGGTACAAAAATTTATTTATTTTAACAAAGACATATATATTTCTAGTTTTATAGTTTCTTTAATAAAAACTAAAGGCTCTACTAGGTGCTCAAACAAAATATAATACATAGTGATCTTTTTCTATGCCGTAATGCCAAAGATGTCGAGACCGCCAATACACATTCCGCATGTCTAGAGGTACCCTATGACAAACGTAATGTAATGTCAAGTATAAAGATTGGTGTAAAGTGCATATGAGGCTTTTTTCTTTGTTGTCTTGCTCTTTGTACTTCCATTCAGAGATGAACGAAACTATTTATAAAAGGCAGTATAGTGAAGATATTGTTTATTTATCGCTTTTTAGTGATTTTTTCATCGCTTTTGATTAAATTTTTTTTTTTAAACAAAAATGATTTTTGAAGTTGAAGAATTTGTTCGTATTGAAGGCGAGACTTCAGTAGCGAAGGGAAGAAGATTCGAATTGTTTTGCATAGAGCTAATAAAAAGAATTTTAGCCCCCTTAAGGGTCAAATTCGTATACACGTGGTAAGTTTTTCTTATTGAGTTACGTGTTGAATCATTATATATCTGAAAGTACGCTATCACATTGGTGTAAATTATTTGGGAATCGAAAGCACGTCGTGGCCAATATTTCGGCATAGAACATTCTTTCCAGTTACTAGTGATCTCGCCGAAGCTTTTAAACTGGGGATTTAATGATGAATAGGATACATGTTGCTTAACTATATATGATAATGATACATATACTCATCTTAATCATTAATTAGAAAGCCTGGTGATAAAGAAAGAGATATTATTTGTGAAGTTTACGGATTTATGTTCGTAATACAGTGTAAGGCTTGGTATAAAAGAAATATAGGTATATTAATATTTATACTGTTCTATTTCTTTAGTTTTACCAAAAGGCTAATAATCTTTGACTAATCAATAATTATTTATTAGATTGGTCACATGTTGACGAATTAGAAACCGTGATAAGGAGAGGAAATAATTTGAATACAATAGTTAGAAAAGGGAGGTTTTTGTTTGGGATATTGGTGAATGTTAAAGAAGATAGAATTTCAGATGAAGCGATAGATAGGGCTATATCGTCAGAATGTGATATTAGTATAATAACTTATCATAATTTATGTGAAGTTATTGTTTGGCTAGTACATCGATTAACTGAACAAATTCTAATATTAGAAAATAGAGATAGAGAATTTAAATTAGATTATAATTTAATATATAGATGGTTTACCTTTACCTTTGTATTTTTATATTATATTTTTTTAGCATATAGATTTATTTAAATAATACTACTATTGTATTCTGACGTTTTATCCATTGTATATAATTTTTTACTTTTTTTATCGTATCAATAAAGCTGGCCCTGGTGGCTGATTTCGCATATATAATCGCGTTTACTTTTGCATGTATATTTCATGAATTTATTTTTTGTATTATTATCGATGTACATTACTCGCATATGATCGAGAATTTTTCACGCAGCCGAAAGATGCTGACCATTGGTCAGGATATCACGTGAATTTTTAAATTTTGAATACTAGCATAAATATTATTATTATATTACGCAGGCATGTAATCCAAAATAGATTTATTGAGGCAGCGAATTACCGAGCTTGAGGCTGAGAAAGCTGAGCTTGAGGCCTAAAATTCCAAGCTTCTAAAACGTGTTATAGAAGAGACCACCAAATACAAAGCTGAGAACGATGAGCTCAAAGCTAGAATCGAGGAGTTGGAGAAGGGTAGAATGGATACTGCTGTCAAGAATGCTAGACGTGATATCGAGAATGCTGAGCTCAAGGCTAGAGTTGCAAAATTGGAAAAAGAGTCCAGGCAACCACAGAATGATTATCTTTCAAGGAACCTGTTGATATAACAGAGTCTGTAACAAGTAGTACAGTACTAGAAGTGCTGTTAACTATAGATAACCCAATACCTGCCAGCTCTAAGTTATCAGAGGATAGAAAGACAGATGCTTTCTTGGATGAGATGAACAAGAAAAATGTTAGTGATAATATAAGGCAAAGGAATAGAGAGAAGAAGCTTTAACGTGAGTTGGCCTGCCTTCTCATAAATTTGAAGCCAGAAGATAAAGTATCCTGTGAAGAAAAGGGGATCAGACTGGATCGTCTCCCTCCAGCTCTCCAGGAACCCTCCCCTTCACTTGTTGTCCGAAAAATACCATACAATCAGAAAGTTGAGCAAGGTATAATTCAGAAAGTGATTTCATTTATTCAAAAAGAAGCATTTGCCTCATCAATTAATACTTCCAAGTTCAATATTGTAATAGCTGATGGGGAAGGTCAAGATTTGGCTCAATTATATTCTGATGTTGAAGACACAGAAGGCAAAATGATAAAAGCTAAACAAAAAGAAAATATACACTGGTATATTTATAGAGAATCATACAAAAATAAAGTTGCAGAAATTTGCTCTAAAACTGGTATAGCCGAAAAAACTGCAAAGTCTCAAGTTTACGCCATGATTAAAGCTTCTTTACCCAATGTTTCAAAATCAAATTTGTATAAGAAGACTGAAAGAGCTGGGAGTGTTTATAGGCTATTTGGAAAGATTATTGATCCTGCAACCAAAAAAGAAGTTATAGAAATTGGTATCGATAAAGTTTATGAAATTTTGTATGGAGTAAGAAGTATATCAGAATTAACCAATTCTCAAATTTTAAATATTATAGATCAGGTACAGGGACGTGGAAAAATTTGGAAACAAATTTTTCCAAAATTTTCCAAATTTTGGCCTCTGATTTCAAAATTTACAAATTTTGGTACTTAACCCAAAAATTTTCAAATTTTGGCCCATAAATATCCAAATCATACCCAAATTTCAGTCATTTTTGAATTCATGTGATCCGGCTGATAGGCTTGACCAATCAGAATGTGCATAATGTTACATGTGAATCTATTATAAATTATTTAATAGTTTGTTCTTTGAATATGAATAAGCCAAAATTTGTTCTTTTGAACCTACGTAGTTGTTTTTTTTGTCTTTTGAACATGTATTTGAAAGTTGTGTTTTTGAATATATACGAATAAAAAAAAAAAAAAACCCCAACAAAAATGAGTTCTTCTAAAAAAACAAGTGCTTATAACCATGCACAAGAGTTTCCAGAACACTTTATTTTTGATTCTGGGAAGCTTATGTGCTGCTTTTGTAATCACAGCGTTAGTTATGAAAATAAGGCTTTTATTACATCACATATAAATTCCAAAACCTACAAAAAAAAACACGAAACTTACTTGAAATCCTCAAACCAAACCTGACAACTGTGTCTTCCTTCAGCTTTAACAGTGGCTGATAAAAAAAAAGAATTTCTTTGTAATCTTGTTCAAGCCTAGGCTGAGGCTGACATACCTTTAGAGAAGCTTAACAAGTTCTGTGGATTCTTGAATACATATTGCAAGGAGGGTGGTTGTATATCTACAGCTAATACTTTATGTCGATCACACTTATCAATAGTTTTTGAAAACTATTTAGAAAGCTTACGTCATATATTTAGTGAAAACCCTGTGGTGATCATAATCGATAAAACAATAGACGTTAAAGGGTGTAGTATAGTCAATATATTGTTTTCTTACCGTGGAGTAACAAAACTTGTGTTTGTTGATTTTATGCAAACAGTAAATTACTCAACTATGGGTGGTCATATTTTACAACTTTTGGCTGAATGGAACATTTCTTTTACTCTTCCTAAAGTAATTGTTTCAGATTCTGCTGCTTACATGAAAAAATATTTTTGTGAAGCTTTAAGTCCTATAATGTTATAGTTAAAACATAATATCTGTTCAGCTCACATAATGAATTTAATTGGGTAAATGAATTATAGTATTATTTTTATGTATATAAATAAAAATATTTATTTTATACATATATATAATGTTAACTTTAATATATTTATTTACTGTATTTACTTTTAGCGAATCATAGACATCAATTTTTTATTTTAATAGTATTAAAATATTAATCATGAATATTAAGAAGACTTTTACATATGCTAGAGCTCATAAAACTCGATATATGCATTATCTAAAATGTCACAGATTAAATCAACAATCGAATCCATCATTAAAGTTTATGCTATTGCCAGTTGCAACCTGTTGGAATATCTGGTTTCGAATGGCGTTTTATTTGTGTGATTACTTAAAATATATTCAAGAGTTTTACGAAGAAGAACAAAAAAGTGAATCAACCGAGACAATTGACAAAATTATGGATATTTTTAATAATCCTGAAGAATATGGTCAAATTCAAATTTATTTGACATTTATTTGGCAATATGCTGAAAGATTTATTGCAGATCTCAATTTTTTTTAATCTGAAAATAACCCAGTTATTCCATTTGTCGAAAATAGAATACAGCAACTTGAAATTTTTTTAAAAGATGGTGAATCCAGTACAGACTTTGGAAATAAGATAAATTTGTGTATTACAAATCTTGGATCTAAACCGCATGTTTTTAATCCTGTATTTTAAGCAGCTTTTGCTGCTGCACGTAAAAAATTTGATAATCATTTTTTACACTATTCTTTTCGATCTCTTTTTATTGCAGTACAAATTTTTAATTCCCATTTTATTAAATTAGCTACTATTAATCGTAATATTCAAAATTATATAACACAAATTTCTAAATTTAATGATCTTTCTGATGAATTATTACACGAATGGGGACTTTATTGTAATCTAGATTTAACCTTAATTGAATTTAATAATTTGGAAGAATTTTGGGTTAAAATATCTTCTTCATTTCCGATTTTAAGTAATATAGCTTCAATTTATATTTGGTTGCCTATCTCTTCTTGTGCTGTAGAAAGAAGTTTTTTTGGTTTATAATAATCTTTTAAAAGAAGATAGGCAAAATTTAAGTGAAGATTCATTGAAAATGCTAAATATGCTATATTTCAATCAACGAAATAATAAAATTTAATATACAAATTTTTCCAAATTTTTAATTTTTTTATTCAAATTTTACCCAAATATTACTTGATACACAAATAAAGATTTATGATTTGATATCTAATTTTTCTACGTCCCTGCCTCGAAGATCACGTCCACGTGACTTATATGATTGATTCTGTTGGGGGTTTATCAGGAATTTGAGATATTACATAGTTAATTTGATTAATGATTAATTTGGCAATTGTTAATGCACTAAAAGATTCTACTTGTTCTATCTTATCTGTTCCTACCTTACTAAATAGGTAAAAAAATCTTTTGGGCTCTTTCTTTTCTTTTTCGAATAGTAGTTTCAGGAGTACCATTGGGAAGTTGTTTTTCAATTTCTTTGTTTACATCACTATTAGCATCATTTACATTATAAGATTTTTCATAATAAAACTTAAAGCATTTCACTATGGCCATCCCGAAGTTATAGTATTGAAAAATTACTTTCTAACTTTGTTTTGATTTTCACTTTCAGCAGAGGTAATTTTAATATATAAATTTAAAAAATCGATGGCTGTAAGTCATCTTCGGTAACTATTACTTGGTAAGAAGTTATTTTATTTTGTTCAGAGGTGTTAGATTTTAATTCTGTAATAAGTTTTTTTATAGTATTAGAATCTTTCTTGTCACCTTTTTCCTTATTCTGTTTTGATTTTTTACTAGTTGATTTATTTTTAGTAGTATCTTTGCTAGGTCTTTTTTGACTCTGTTTCATATTGTCTGGATAAAATAAGGAGATAGGGTTAAAAATTCATATTGTATCTGAGGTTACTATATTCTGGCTCTGATCAGATGACATTTCTGGCAAAATTTGCATTGGGATTAGAGTACTTTGTGTTTGATTTTTTTGCGAGCTAAATTCAGAATAATCAACTGGTTCAACTTCTATTGCACACTTAGGGTTTTGCAGAAGATCTTTCACATAGTCCTCAAGACAACTATGGTAGAATATATGGGCGCAAATAAGTATCGTAAATGGTTTTTTAATTTCGTACAAAAAAAGTTCTTTATTACACTTTGAGCATGGATCTAGTTCTGGAACTTTAACACCTTTTGCAATGATCTCTGGGTGCCATTCTTAAGGATATTTAAAGCAAGGCTTTTGAGATATGAAACGTTTTGAGGCATTGAATTAGTAGCTATATTCAAAGGTAAATTTTTTTATAATTAAAAGAGCTAGTATACGGTATTAAGGATTATAGACAGATAAGTATTGAAATTAATCATTTGCTTATTTTTATATATTTAATGTTTTAGAGACTAACAAACTTAACTTGCAGATTTTATGAAAACTAATTTCGGGTTTGACAATCTGTTCATTCACAAATTAATTAGCATGAATGTGAATCACTTGATCTATTAGCAATCATGACGATTTACAAATTAGTAATTTCTTAACCGAATGAATAAAGCAATGATAATTCTATTTGAACAAAAAATCAGGTTCACTTGATCTACTGTTAATTCTCAAGTTTATTGGCATTTTGATAATATCGTTCTTGAGCACGTTTCATTAATGTGCTACCTGGTGATAAAGCCATTTTCTCACTGCACACTGAATTATTTTGGCTGAATTTATTCATTTTTTCCATAAACGATATGCTCGCTGGATGATAATAGCCGGTCAATTTTTTATATATAAAGTTAGGAAATATGTTACTTGGGTTTTAAATTCTTTAAATTCAAAGTTATTGGCTATGGATTCATTTCTAGTTAAATTATTTTTAATACGAAATATAAAGTTTCTCCAATGAACTTTTCTATTAATATCATATCCTAGTATTAATAAATGTCTTCATATATATTCGGGTAGATGATATTTCGCAAATCGTAACCATGCTTCTGGTGTTTTTAAATTACTAATATAGTTTAAGCAATATTCAGATAATATGTATCAGGTATAACTATTTTTTTCCTATTCCTCAAAAATATTAGGCATGTTTAATGTGTTGATTTTATTAACTAAGACTTTGTATGTTTCTAATATAATATTAAAAAACTTCTATAATTAGTTATAGCATTCTTTAATAATTTTTTTATCCAAAAAATATTTGTTATAAAGCATCTATTCTTTGAAACGAAGTCTAGCTTTCATAGCTCTTTCTTCTGCTTCCTCGAGAACTATTTCAGATACTACTAGGCGTTTGTATAATTTAATTCGCCAATGTCCATATAGGAGAGTTCGAATTCCATCAAGTAAAATCCAGTGCTTGTTATCATATGGATTCAGCCCTATCTTATTTACTCTCTCCATATATATTTGATGATCATAACTTCGGAGGCCATACATATCATGCCAGATTAGTCTCTTGTTCCTAAGATATTCTAGAAACTTATCATATTGAAATTCCCTCTTAACCATGTATTTCTTAACACCCTTTGCCTTCTGGATACCATGCTTCTTTTTTGGGTCTTCTGAATCGGGATCATTGGGAGTCTTTGGATCATGCCCAACTGGTAGGATAGAGTATATCTTTGGTTTTAAACATACTGCTTCATCTATAGATAAGCCCTTAGTTTCATCCTTTATCAGAAATAAAGCTTCTGAGTTGTTGAGATTGAAGATATCTGGTCTCTCTGCATGATCCTTATAAATATCCTCAGTTTCTATAATCATGATAAGTGAGTCTGTATCTGTGTAAAGTAGGCAGACTTTTTCCCCGTAGCGAGGCTTTATGTAACTGTACCAAAAGTTAAACATCATAGCTTTGCTAATGTCAAGAATAGCCTGTCTTATATAGATTGGCTTGTTTAGAGTTACGGCACTTTTTAACATATGGATGGCTATAATTCCTCCTTTGAATTGCTTAAAACCTACAAATAATGGCGAACTTGCTAATCACCTGATTTTTTTATCTTCTTCTGTTTGGAGAAGTTCTACTCTCATATGTTTATAGACATTCTCAATCTGTTTACCAAAGATAGCATTATTTTTTAGCTTATAATACATGACCTGAACTTATCACTATTGGCTTTTGCTATTTTGCGTTTACGAATATTTTCTTTAATATATTCTTTCATCCAGGGGATTGCTTAAACTTGAGTGCATCATAAATCTTTGTGACCTTTAGCCTTTGTCTCATATATAGCTGGAGTGCATGATAATGGACCACGTAGTTCTTTTTGGAATAAAGGGTTTGGACGAGCTTTTCTTTGTTATATATTTTCTACCTCCTACTTCTTTGTCTTGTACTAATTTTGCATTATATGGACTTAACTAGTTTTCAAGTACTATTTGCTTTTCTGGTGCTAGAAGGTAGTCTGCAAAGAAGTCATGTAAGTATGCCGGAACTTCTAAGTCTACTTTGGGCATATAGCCTATTTCTGCATTTGGCGAAATAGTTTGAATATCTGGTACCTCTTCTGAACCTACTTTGCCTATTATCTCTGTAGGCATATATTGCGTCATTGCACCTGAATATAAGGCATTCATGTCCTCATACATGGTCTAAAATGTTAGTTTGCTTGAATCATAGTCAGGACATTGAGAATTATTCGCTTTGGCATATTGGTGACTTGCCATTGTTATTTCTCCACGAATATCCTTCTCAATCATCAAGTACTCGTCTATATCTGTCATGAGCTTAAGTTTGGCACTACTACTTTTGTATAAGGAATCATTAAATATTCCTGGTGCAGATACATAATGAGAAGGTTCTAAGCTGTCATCTTTTAAGCACATAATAGTGTAGTTCATGAAAACATCTGCAAGTAAAACTATATCAGTTTCGAGATAAAGGTCATGATACTCTCAAAAACTTTGCATTTCAAATGTTTGCTATATTTTTTGCACATATTCATAATCCTCTTTACTAATATTTTGTTGACTAAGAAGTGAATAGAAATCCTTTTTAGACAGGAGGATTGTTCTGTCAAATTTTTCCCATGAGTTTGTCCAGTCATATAGGAATACTTCTTTTTGGAAAAGAAGCTTAATCTTATCTATTGAGTAGCCTTTCTCTGTAAAGTATTTTACAGTTAGAGGAAATTTTTCGAGCTTTCCTCCTAGACATTCTATTAACTTATCAAGACCTATTCCCATATGCTGAAAACTATCAAGAAATCGGAGCCAACCTACATCTATGGACTTATACTTCCTATATTTTCTGGGATACAATTTAGCTTATCAGCCGTGAACTTGCTCACAACTTTTATAAGCGGATGAGAGTCATACTCTTGGAAATTATGACAGATAAGAGGCACTTTAGTTTCGAAAGAGCCTATTCGCAACTTTTTGTTACATGAGTCATAAGCTGGGCCTCGATACTTACCACTTATATGGTCATGGTCTTTTACTTTACAGTTAAGAGCACTTAGAGCTTCATGATATTCTTTCTGTATTTTTTTCTTTTCTGGATGCTCTTTCTCTATATTTGCTTCCCATTCATTGAGTTCTATCAATCCATGCTTTGCTTCTTCAAATTTTTCTAATGTTTCTTGTGATAGTTTGAAAAAAGGCTTCTTACAAATCCAATACTCGGTTACTTCATTGTACGCCTTTAAGTTTTTTGGTACCATAATTATTTCAGCTAGTATAGATAAATCTTCCTGAATGCTAGAAGTTCCTTCTCAATTTTTGTGACAAACCTTTCAAGCATATCAGGTCCTCTATATAAATCATGACTCATGATTTCATAGTTTAGCAAACTATCCATACAAACAACTATGTAACAATAGCCACACGGCTTGTGCATCTGTAATCTTTTAGTATGGGTTAGCTTTGTTTTCTCTTCTGGAGTTAACTTTTCGGTTAATATTCCTAGATCCCAGAAAATGCGATATGGATTTGGTTGTATGCATTTATAATTATAGAAAGCTTTGATACTCTTATTTTTTATTGATATTTGTGGTCTCTGAAAAGCATTATTTAGGCTTTGCATTTTGGTAGGTGCTTCTTAAATTCTTTTTCTACTGAATATACATGAAGACAATATCGGCAAATATATTTTCGCCCTTTATACTTGCTATGATTATATACTAGCTTATGTAAATCTTTGATTATGCAGTAATGGTTTCTTTCTTCTTCCCTAATTACTAGAAGATTTACTTGCTTATATTCTTCTTCTCTTTTCTCTGAAACATAGCGAAATTCAAGACATTTATTTTGGTTATGCCATTCATAAATGCAAAGACTAATTTCTGAGTTATTTTCTTCGAACTTCTTATAAACTGGTGATGAGACTGGTACCGGAATTGGAATATTATCTATGCTAAGTTTTCCCACAAAATCTCTATATAGCTGATGTGGATTTCTCTCTGGATGAACTTTAACTGGATGCAAAGCTCCTAGAACACTCCATCCAAAATACCAGTCATCATTATTTTGAATATTTATAATTCTATTATTATGTTTTGGCAAAGTTTCGGGCAAAGGTATATAGGCAGTAGGTCTAATTGGATTGAAATCAGCTATTTCTATACTAAATTCTTCTATATATTCTGGGTAAGCATCAGACATTTGGTATATTAGTTATCTCTAATCATCACACTATTACTTACTTATAAATTTTTTTCTTTAATTAATTATTTTATATGCACTTATCAATTTTCAATCATATAAACTCTAGTGAAAACCGATGATAAGTATTTACAAGCTTTCTAAAGCGATTCTAGCTATTGCAAAACTGAAGTATTAACTAGTTACTATTAATCTTTTCAAATCTAGTAATAAAAAAGTAGGATGATTGATGAATATTCCTGCCCATATCTTTGCAATACCAGAAAGGCTTGCAATAGGCCTTCTATTCGGCCTGAAGGGTGCCGGTTTCATTGGAAGGCTAAAAACGGGTACCATGCTCTGATTGCAAGAAGCCTACGGCATCTGCTTGTGGACAATGCCCAGCATATATCAAAGGGTACCACATTACCCAGTACTATGATAGATTGTAGGCTAAAGCATCCTAGAATATACTAAGGATATAGCAGGTGATATAATATATATATTGCTCATATATTTTTACTAGATTTATTTATATCATTTTTATGAGCTAGAGATTGCCAGAATTGTTTTTAATATATTTTTTTCATTATGCTATTTACTAAGCTAGTCCATGTAGAGCTGTTCTTGACTAAAGATTTTTATAAGGAATGTTAAGTTATTTTCATTAGACTTATATATTATTTTATAAGTTATCCGGTACAGAGACACTTTCTAATACACTGCTTTTTTTTGTTAGATATATAAAATTCCCGGCAAGGCAGAATCGTTAAATTTATTTAAAATATATTAAATAATAAGCTGACCCTCTATAGAAACGATTTCTAATATACAAGTTTTATTAGACATAAAATTCCTGGCAGAGCAGAATCATTAGACTTATTTTTTCAGCAAGCAGAAAGAAAAGTTGGGACAAAATTCATATTAGACTTTTCTAATAATTATACTATTTAATAAGCTAGAGCTTGTAGAAGCTATTCTTGTCTATAAGTAATTTCGTTAGATTAAACAAGTCACATGATACTTGATATGCTAATTAACGTTTAAATCTCTCTAGAAGCAATTCTTGAATAGTTAGAGATATTCATAAATAAATCTAACAAATCTAAAATCGTTAATAAATATAACTAAAAAATCGATATAATTTTAAGGGCTTTTGAGAGCCCCAGAATGTATTCCTGATATGTTTTTAAATTGTTAGATTTATTTATGAGATAATAAGGACAGTTAGACTTAAATAAATCTAACCAAAAATCAATATAGTTCCTAGCCTTTGGGAGCCTCTAGAATATATTCCTAACATTTTAATAAATCTAACCAAAAATCGATATAATTATTAGCCTTTTGAAGCTCTCAGAATATATTCCTGATATATTTATAAATCGTTGGACTTAATAAATCTAACCAAAAATCAATATAGTTCCTGGTCTTTAGAAGACACCAGAATGTATTCCTAATATGTTTTAAATCTAACTAAAACTCAATATAGTTCCTGGTATTTAGAAACTTCCAAAATACATTTCTGATATATACTAAGTTTAACTGTCCCAAAAACCTCTAGAATGACATTGTGTCCTGCTTCTAGTCCCCACAGTTAAGTCCTTTTTCTCTGGTTACTCTTCTGGCAGCTTTTGGAGTGCCTTGCCAAAGCACTTCGGACCCATTTAGTTTTGCCAGTTTCTCTGATAATAATCCTTTACGTAGTACTATCGCAAATTTGTGCTACTTCTCTATTCGAGACTTGCCAAGCAAGTGCTCTACCGCTGTATCAGTTCTGTGGCTTTTTGCGATTTAAAGATCTATTTGTGTAACTTATATGTCACACAAATGCCCTGAGATCTTTCAGTTCCAATGAATTGGTATGACCACAGTTATAGGGTCTCAAGTTTTGCTAGCTACGACAATAGTTACCAAATCTGTTTTTCTTAAAATCTAATTTTTGCTCTCCGTAGAAATTGAACCAATGCTCAACTGCTTGGGAGCGCAACAATTTTACCACTTCACTAAGTCACCACACCCTATATTTGAATATTATATTTATCTAGCAAGACTAATTAAATATTATAAAATAAGGCTATATATTATACTACTACTCAAATTAAAGATATTTGTAAATAAATTTTGTGTATTTAGTTAGATCTATTTTCTTTCTTCTATTAGATAAACTTTGGGCTATGTTGAAAAAATATTTAACTATTATGCTATATTAGCTTTTATTAACTTTAAGATTTTTATATAATTTTTTGATCTATTACTATCTTCAATAGCTCTAATAAACTAATATACAAATAATCTTTTTTGTAATATTATTTAGAAAACTATATTAATGATTTAATAAAAGATTGCATCTTCTTTTTATAGCATTATTTTTTTATTCTATTCTGTTAGCATATTGAGAATTTTATTTTTTTGATTTTGAAATTAATGCTGATAATATTAATATATTAATTTAAATTTTTAGAAATGTAGATTTTTACTGAAGTATACTTACTTCTCAGTATTTTTTGTTTTTACAACTTTATCAACAATAATCTATTTGAAAATAGAACTAAAAATAATATCTACTTTGAATATTTTTATAGTATTTTTGTAGTTTAGTTTCTTGGTATTGTTAATCTAGAAAGAGTTTATAATATTAAAAAAGTATTTTTTTGTTTTTTTTAAGGTAGTATCTTTTGCTATTAACTTATTATATATTTTTATTTATTATATTTTACTATATATATCAGTATTTTTACAATTTAGACTATAGTTTAGAACTATAGTCAGACCTCTCTAAATGCAATACGATAGGACTATATATAAAAATTTGGTCAAACGTGTACTTAGAGAGGTATTGCATTTAGGAAGATAAAAATATATAGATGTAATATTAGTTGGACCTAAGAAAAATGTGCATTTAGAAAGGTGTTTCATAGGACGTGCACTTAGGAGGTAGCATTTAGGGGGTCTGACTGTAATTTATTCTTAGATACAAACTATCAAATATATTCTAATCTTGTTCTATT